ACGCAAAAGCAATATTTGACACTCTTGAAGAAGGAGGCGCAAAAACAAAATTTTTAATCAAGAGTATCAATATTTTTAGTCTATCATACGTAATCCTAAAAAAATGCAAGACGATTGAGAAATACAAGAGGTTATGTTGATCGTCTACTTCAGGTCAGAGAAAGAAGAAATAGGAAAATAACATAAGAACGAGGAGGCAATATTTCGTAGAAAAAGACAACAATGGGATACTCTCTCGAAAGTATCTTTAGTTAATCTAATACCTATGAAAGGAGTTCCAACCCTACTATTTTATAGGGACTCGATCTACCTCTCTTCCCTTCTTATCCATTATATAAATACCGAACATAGACATTGATCTTTAAACATGGTCTCAAACACAATACACACTTACCTCTTGAATTAATCGAATCTCGAGTGGTAGCCTAAATTGGATGTCAGAGTATTTTGGACGGGGGGGGGGGGGGAATCCTATCTCATCCTCCCAAAGATATTCTTCACGATATTACTTATGCATGGTCTAATACATTTTAGAGGATCATCGTGGCTATCTCACCAAAGACGATAACTTCGATGGAAACGTCTCTCATTCCCCACAAGGACATAATTCTTACTCGGATTTTTATGACTATTAATGCATGACACTTCAAAGATTATGCAAAACATTATATAATCCCGTATGAAGGACTTGAAAATTTGATCCAAACACTTAACACTAAGGAGGAGAATAGAAAAGACAAATCATAATATAATTTTTTTGTTATTTTACAATATAAGATACTATAGTTCAATTCTTGTTGGAAAATGTAGTTCAATTCTTGAACTGAATGTTACTCAAAAGTTGATACATATGCAACGGATACCATTTAAAATATTCATTAGTACTAAACAAAACTCAAAAATCAAAAAGTTTAAACAAGATTCAGATCATCAACCTAGAGCTACTTAGCTATTTAAGATTCCATATTCTGCTTTCATTCCCTGCACCAAATCAGATTGTTTCTTCTGATCCATTTTCTCATACGAAACCCCGCTCAGTTTCTTCCTTGTAACTGGATGTTAGGATGATACCTAGGTGCTTGTCCATTTAACAGCTCACGAAGCTCCCATGCAGCCATAGATGGTTCTCGAAGATGTTCATCCGCACCATTTGGATAAGCTAAGAGAAACCTGAAGTCCTTAGTTTTAAGATCATTGATCATCCAATTAAAGTCTACATCTCCAGTTATTATTAAGATATCCTTCTCGTGCGAGTCCCCCGGTTGCACCGTGCATGCACATAAACCCCTCTTTGAAGAGCAGAAACTGTTGTCTCAAGTTTTTCATCCCACCGCCATTTATCAATCTTTTCTTGTACTTTAGATGACTCAATGTTCCTGATACATGGGGCACAGAGGCAATACCTCTCATAACCCTCGACGAAATCTGTATTCTCTAAAAGATAGTCAGGGTCTAGGTTAGATTCCCCGAAGAATGAAAGGCGACTGACTATCAAACTGCTATCTAACTGAACTAATCCCCTTAGAATATTCTCTCTGAATTCATCTATATAATAGTCTCGCGGTATTTTGGCGGTTTTCATATCCCAGAATACACGTACTCTTTTTTCCCCATCGTTCCCAGCCCTTTGTCCTTCTTGCAAAGATCCTGAAAATCCATCTCTCCCACTGTTTTTGATCAGATTGTTGTCCTACGACTTGACTGCCCTGTGACTACAATTTTCAACCAATCTTCTTTGTCGTAAGTTTTCGACCATTTTTTGATAAATTTACGAATCCGTTCAAAATTGGTCGAAAATATTTCATCATATTTTCTTAACCAATTTATAACGAAAATAAACATTCGTCTAAAATTGGTCGAAAATGGTCAAAATAGTTTTGACCACAAAAAAAATTGGTCAAAAGTAGTGAATAGATTATCCTAGTTATTCTTTTTAAAAACTAAGTTATTCTAGGTAAATTTTTCTATAAATTAAGGCTAATGAATTATGTATTTCCATGATACACTTACACCAAGACTCATTAAATATCATGCATTTCAATTGAGTGTTTAGATCCATTTGTGAGTGTTTTGGTAAAGTTAACCAAAGTTTTATTGGAAAAAGAAATAAAGTGCTTGAAGACCATATTAGGCCAGAGGACCAAGATTTTTTCCTCATATGTTTTCCTGCAATCATGAACAATCCTTGTGTTGGGAAACGTAAGCAAAAGGATGTTTCTACATCTCACAGAAGGTGGCGTTTTTAGTTAGTTCGGTTTAGTTTCACCAGTAGACCATATTAGGCCAGAGGACCAAGATTGTGCTTGAAGAGAAGACAACAGTTAAACAACAAGCAATGGATGGAATAGTTGATCCTAACAATGCAGTCCAGATACATGGTCTTGCAAAAGCTACTAATTAATCAAGCCAATTATAATTTTGCCTCTATACTTACTTAGTAAATTTTGCCTCTATACTTACTTAGTAAAGCTACTAATATAAATTTTGATGAGCTAGTTAATTTGCAATGAAACCAAAATGGACAAAGCTGCATTTCAAAGAATGGAACAAATTTTGGATCGACGACCACGATCTATTGTATGATTTGATGTATTAAATTAAAGTTATACACATTTAAATGATTTAAATTTCAAGATGAGGTGGGCTGGTTTTTGCCTCTTGAGATGAACATCATGTGATTGGTTTTTGTAAGTTATCCTCAATTTGCTATAAAATTGAGACATTTGGTAAAAAAATCTTATACGTCATTTAATGAGAGTTTTAATGGATACATCAATTAGATAAACCAATCAAAACATTTCAATTAACTCTATATGGCATGTTGAAAATCTCTACATACCTACATTATTTTTTAAACATGAATTCACAAATATTTACATGTGTTACAAATATAAATCTAACTAAAATATAACACTTTAAAATTTTATATAACATAAAGTTTTAACGATAAATCATTTATCTATATCAATTACTTTATAAATTTTTTAATAATGTCCATTTGGATATCATATGTGATTAATCATACAATTACTTTATTTTTATATCGCTTAATCCATATTACTCTAATTAAAGTTACGTTTTTGTTATAAACGTACAATTTTACAAATCAAACCTTAATATTTGAATTCCGAAAAATCTATCATTTTCACTTTTTATTATTTTCTTTGATTTTTTATCTGAAAAGATTATTACATATTAACGCAATATTTTTTTCGTTTTGGTAAACTCATATAAATTTGAAAGAAACGATCATCTCAAACGTATTCGATTTACATCAAAAACGCTTCAAAAATGCTTCAAAACCGTTTACATTTAATCTAGATGTCATGCAAATTAAATTTTATAAAATAAAATATATTTATTTATATGAGAGATATACCATTTGATCTTTGTTCTCTGTAATTCCCTCGTATAGAAACTTCCACTAACTTTTGCTGACATAAATGCTCTCTAATCTTGGAGTGGAAAGCTCTGAAAGTTGGAAGACCTCAGTTTCTAGAAGTAGATACAGTACTAACAAGTTTCTAAGCCACCAAACAATGTGCGTTGAAGCATTGGTACGGGGCCTAGAAAATCCTCTCTTTGGATAGTATTTGAAAAATGCATTCAGTTACTAGTAAGATTCACTACTCCTCAACCATCCACCACAATCTTTCCTCTATACAAACCTCCCTCACTACTCCTCCTCCTTAGAAACACACAAAATCATAACAGAGTAAAACAATGGCTAGCAAGTACATGCGAGTTGTGGTACCGCTAGTATTCATGCTTCTTGATGCAGTGTGGGTTACTCAAGCAGCTACAACCAGTAAGGCGATTAGTGAGATTTTGGCTCCTTGCACAAAGCCAGGAGGGGATTCCCCTTCATGCTGCACCAGCTTACAGATGCTAAAGGATTTAAGCCCAGCTGACGGCAAAGTTGCTTGCATTGCGGACGCTCTTTCTTTTGCACCTTCGGATGTGGTCAAGCTTGTTGAGGCGCTGCCCGGGAAGTGTGGCTTGCAACTCCCATTCAAACTGAATCCTAGTGTTGACTGCACCAGGTAATCGGATTTATCATGAGATTTTTGTGCTTGTAAGGATTTGAGAAAGACATAAATGATACATTAATTTTAATTTCTTGTTTCACTTCTTTAAAGGTTGAACTGAGGATCGAGGATAAGAGGAAGACGCAAAGACGACTCCACCTACGTAATCCATTAATTAATAATGATAATAAGTTGTCTTTTGTTTTGTTTCATGGAATCTTTACTATAAAAGTTGCTACTAATTACTATGATTCTGTGAACAAACACTTGTACTCGTCTTCTATCTTCTATGGCACACTTTTGGACTTAGTTTCAGTGAGCTATTTTTCCAAGAATTTTTAAGACGCAATGATGATAAATTAACATAATAAGTCCGTAGCTTGGTAGATGTAAACTATGTTCTTTGATTTTCTGAATATCAGTTTATCCGAAGAAAAAAAAAGGTTTAGCGACAAGCATGAAAACCTATTCTTTCTAACCAATCATCTTTGCTTTCACAAATCAAAATTCTTGGCATAGATTTATAATTTATTACAACATATATATAACCTAAATAATGTCACACGCTTTATTAGCTAAAACACCAACCAGAACCTTGATATATATATAATGTATTTAATAATTAGGATGTTTTTTCTTTTTTTGGATAAACCGTTAGAGTTCCGGATCTTTGATCCATAATCTTCTCGGTGTCCGGACCAGCCGTTGATAATACCACGTTTAAAGCATTAATCACCCATTCCAAGTGAAGTTAAACTAGTGAAGTTAAACTAGTGAAATTGAAAACTCATTTTCAAGTGTCAAGACCACTAGGCCACCAACCACTTGATATAATTAGGATGTTGAGTTGGAACTTTTCATATTTGCCAACTGAAAGAGTAATCAAAGAATGTCTGAGATTCATTTTCATCTTATGTATTACATAGCAAACATCTTGAATCAATGTGTAAATCCCATTCAAGAAGATAGTCTTGAGTAGCACATATTTTAAACATGAACAAGTAAGCTAAAAACCAATGATTTGTGATGCCACCAGAGAAGGAAATGGTTTTGACAAAAGGTACTCACTGGTTATGGTGTTTTTTGGACCAAATTGTTATTGTATTTATCGTTAAAGTATTTGGTAGATTTTGTTCCATCAGGATACCACTTACTTATTGCTTTCTCTCGGGGAGATTTATATATAAATTAAATGTAATGAATTATGTATTTTTCATGTTATAGTACTTAAGTATCCCGATTGAGGGTATTTCAATGTGGTTTTAACATTAAAATTTTAATAAAATCACTAAAAAAGAAGAAAGAGAAACACATGAGTCTCTCGCTTCCCCCCCCCCCAAATGTTAAGAGACTAACATCACACTTGGACAAATATTTTTTGTCATCAGCATATATTTAAACTATATCGGGAAGAACAAAATTTACATGTAAAACATCATGCGGTTGTGGTTGAGCACTACGTGACAACATATCCGCTTTTAAGTTATTAAGATGAAGAGTGTAGGAAAGAGTGAAAAAAGGAAATGCTTGCTTGAAATGCTCCATATCTCCCAAATAGGTCGCGAAAGCAGGCCATATCTTTGATTCCTTCACCATTTGGACCAACTGATCAGTACTATAGGTGGCGAACTTCACATCTTATGTTGGGTAATCAAACAAACCATTAAGTTGGACAATGGCAAACCAACGTCTGTCTTCACCACTTGGATATATATCATTGGTCCATTTTTAATAAAATTTCAAATTTAATTATTTAACTAGATAAAATTGAAAAATAATAAATTTATATTTGGTGAGATACCCTTGTGAGTATCTCACAAATGGAGATGTTCTTACCCCAAGACTCATTATATTGT